AGCAGAAACAACACCTTTTAGAACCTTGTATGGTAAAACCAGTCTATATTAATGTAATATTTCTATTATTGGTGTATAATAAATTCTGAATAATACAAATAAATATCATAACCCCTTTTACACTTGGAGTTGTGTTTTATGTTTTCTATATGACATCTTTGACACTCTAAATTAGATTAGAATTTTATCTTCTTCATAATACAGCTCTGGATATTTTTGAAGTTTAATTGCTAGCTGCGAAGGATACATTTTACTTGAATTTTGACTAATGTGTTGATATTGCTAACAGTACTATTGAGGTTCATTCAGACGATACAGTTGATTATGACATTTTATATGGGTTAGAGCTATGGAAGAAGAGAATCTGGTTATTATGTATATTTTTTTACAAGTTCAGGTATGGAATGACTCGATGACTCGTATCTTGATTGTTGTTGAGAGTATAATCACAAAAGGCAATTTAAGTTTACTAATGAGAAATAATCCAGTTAGGTTTTTATGTTTGTTCTCCTAAGTTGATGTTTGTGCTTTAATGATTGGCCTATGGTATTGGATTTATGAATCCTGTTCTGATTTCTTTAACTTACATGAAAGAAGAAATGTTTTTAATGACCTGGGAAATTGATCTTATCATTTGTTTCACGTTTCTTTCTTTCTTTGTCCTTTTTGTTTAATCTTCCAGTTTTGTGTGTACACATTATATGAACATACTATATTCTCATTTCTCAAACTAAAGAAATTAAAAGAATAAGACTGGCTAATTAGTGTTCCTATTTAAGCTGTTACAAAAAGCTGCTTTTTTAAAATAGAGTTATGCAAGAACTGTTTTCACAATATTGGATCTAACTAAAAATGCACATATAAAAATTGACAAAGAACCTACATCTTTTATGCCTCACTACTTATTATTATAAACTTAATGAGCCATATACTCCAAAGAAATTTTAAATGATTAGTCCCTATTTCATGTATTCTTTCTCTGTGTTCAATTATTTTGGATAGGGTAATCTTCCTTTACCTTAATCTTCATCTTCATCTTGGCTTTCATCTTCATCTATGCTCTGTTACGTTTAATCAGCTTCATCCCTCCAGCCTTCATCCCCATCGATACTCTTCTCTCCATCTAGGCCGACTTCAGACCTTCCCCTTCGTCCCTATGGACTGTCTTCTCTCCGACCCACCGCCTTCATCCCCATCATCACTCTTCTCTCCGTCAATGTCAGAACTATATCTTTTAACTTGATTCTTTTAACTTTCTAAAAAGCTTATTTTAAAATTTCACATGTTATGATTTGTCATCATACTGGCTTAGTTACCTGGAAATGGCGAGGTCAACATATATTAAGCCTTATGGTTATTTCTGATAACCTAACCGAAAATTTCATAATGGATCTGAAGCTTCTTGAATCTAAATCTCTTTCCTCTTATATCAACACATATATGTCAATCTCCATCACTTAAAAGCTTAATGCTACCTCTTCTTATCATCATAGGACTTCACTTTTTTCATTTAACGTTGCCAAACATCATGGAAATAAAAAATAGGTATTTATAGCACATACAAAACCTATTAAGACAAGGTCATAAGTAATGCTAATGATAACTAGGTATTTATGCATCGTGCATAATTATAGATAAGGAATTGAGCATCTCTAATCTATCTAATACATAAAAGTAAAACAATTTTTTACTGTTCATTGAACAATATTCCCTCCCAATAACACCAAAAACATCCCAGTCGTTCAATTGAAAACATATCATTTCCTGATCTCTAGAAATTATTCCTCACGACCATACCTTGTGTGTATTGGTTCGTTAGTTAGTTCATAAATTCTTTTCTTGAAGGCTAGCATCGATCCCAACAATAGTAAAAAACAAAATGAGCAGAGGGAGCATTGATTACTTATATGCATGCGTTAAAAGGGATGAGTAGCTCTTTTCCTTGTGATTATGATTCTTTCAAGCAATAAGTTAAATCACATTTTCAATTAGTGACTTCATATTTATTTAGTTTTCTGCCCACTGATTTGTCCCTGAGTTTTCTCCTCAATAATTTCCTGAATCTCTCATAGGGTATATTTGCAAAATGGTTTTGGTGTAGCTACTTTAGTAGGTTTTAATATCAATATGAAGTCAAATTAAAACAAGTTGGATGTCTAGCAAAAATATGTATCTCATATTTGCAAAATTGTTTCTTTACGGCCTAGGGTTCCTTAAATTCTTAGAGTATAGTTGAGCTATCAGCTATACAATATATATGCCTTGATTATAACTAAAATCCCTGTCACAAAAAACGAAACCACATGAACATTATTAAAAATTTGGATCAATTTTTGGCAATTTTGTACTTCCCAGGTGGATCAACTCCCTTCAAAGTGGTATCCTAAATTCATCTACTTTGATATTAAACTTGTTGTATTTGTCATTTATTTTTATGCCAATTAGTATGGACTCTTACTAATATTAGCCTCCAATCTTTATGCTATTTCAAGTTTATATGGTTTAACAAAAGCTAAATTGTTCATTTCTTAAACAAAAGTTCTATAAACCACACAAAAATAAAGAAGGCCACCCATTGAGTAATTCTTAAATTGCCCTCAAGAATTTTCAATTATAGAATTTATCAAAATCAAGGGTTAAAGCTCTTAACTTACTCTCAAGAAATTCCATATGCATGTATAAAGAAGCCTGCTTAGTGAGTAATTCTTAAATGTTTCCTTAGCTAATCATTCTGGAATTCTTATCAGCAAATTTTGTATGTATTTATACGGGTGGATTTTCTCAGGCATAATCATTTCAATCAAGAATATCAATCTTGAATGTGATGTTGTTACATACACAATCATTCTATTTTTTTTGTTAGCATTGGGGTGTCAATCAGGACCTTCTAAAGTTAAAACATGTTTACATTTCAACTTTTGCTTACAAAAATTTTATAATGAATGACAGACAATATCATGTTTTCCCCATATGTGCATGTCAAAAGAGTGAAAAGGAGAATGAAGGCATTGATGAAGTGATAAATTATATTGTGCACTTTATGTTGCAGTAGTTAATCAATTCGTTAATGTTATTATTTATCAATCTAATACAGGGGCTTTGTTAAACGGTCAATCAAGGTAGAAGGATCTACAACTTGACCCATTATTAAAAAGGAGTGATCGGGATTGAAGGTTTTTGATTATCATTGAATTAGGAAGACCTCTTTCTCTCTTTGCAAAAAGTTAAATTTAAATATATTTTTTGGTTCTTGGCAAGGAAATTTTTGTTGAAGAAGGAACCATGCCAAGGTTTTTATGGACTTTGTGATTTTGATATGATAGTAGTCGATTTACATTCCTCGTGTGCTATGTTTGTCCTATATTATTAGTTATTTCTTTCACAAATATGTATAATAATAGTGCTCACTTTCCAGGTGTTCTCTATTATACTCATTACTAAGAATGTTTTTTCTTGGACTGTAATTTCTCCCAATCCAGACCAGTTCAGACCATACCAGACTTCGATAGTTATAAAAATACAAACCAGACCAGTTCAGACCAGACCAGCAAATTACAGTCCAAGTAAAACATCCTAATATGTCAACAATTAGGGGACTTTTTCAAACGGTAACTTGATGTATCATGAGTCATGACTGATAGTATAGTAATGTCGAAGTCATACTAACATGAACATTTTAATGAAGCATTACAAACTTCATGTACAAAGTTAACAACCAATCGAAATAATTTAAAGTAATGCTTAGTTACACTTTGAAGGGAAGGAGTTGAGGTAGGACTCTATGGGTGATAGTCGGGGGGGTCTCATTTTAGACATAAAGAGTGTTATCAGAAATATACATAAAAGTATAAAACTACTAAAATTAAGTACATTTGATAAAAATGATTTAAGTCCATTTGAATAGAAATTTTCTTATATTCAATTTATCTTGATATTATTAAGCTTTTTCCTATCAGAGTGTTTCTTATTTTATTTTATTTTTCGAAAAGGTTTAGTAATTGATAGTCTTTGTTCCGAATCTCAATTTGAAAGGTTTAGATTGCTATAGTCCTATTTACTAAAAATCAAAGATAAAAAAGGATGAGGTATATAACACTAAAAAATAGTATATTAACAAATATATTGTTGATGATGAAAAGTGAAAATAATGTAATTTTTTCTTTCTTTTTGTTTTATGCCTTTTCTACTCTATTTATTAACTCCTACTACTTTTAATATTCGTGAAAAATCCACATATAATGTTATAAATATAAATGAACGGTGCAATATCCAAAATACAACACTTTTTCAAAATATGAAAACGAAAGAAAAAAATCAGAAAAGTAGGGTTAAAATTAAAAAGAACCAAAAAACACCTATATTAATGATTGTAAACTAATTAGAGGGATTGTACGTGTTCACTGCACAAGTGGAAATGCTTCATCACGAAAAAATGTTAGAGAAATGGTGCTAAATAGGAGCTTAAGTTTCCCTATGTAATTAAATAAGACCTTGACTTTTTTAACTCCTAAACGGGACTTGTTTTCCCGTCTTTTCCGTATTTGCCCTTGTCTTTTTTTAAAGCTCTATGTCGGCATTTTTTTTGCTACCGCAGAGCACGGCAGTGGAAGCGAATGCGGAAACCAGCAGCGCTGACAAACTCTCACGCTCCAACCAACTGTTCAAGCAATTACATCCCATAGATCCAGAAGAAGGTGAGCATATGGTGCAAATCGATGGGCGTCGACATCGTCCGTGGATGGCGACATACCGCCAGCATCGACGGCGGCACGGCGTCAATGTCGGTGGACGGAGGTAGAAATCTTTCTCCTCCTACTCCTTTTCTCCTTCTCCTCTTCTGGAAGGGCACACAGACAGGAGACCAGAAGAAAGCCTACCAGAAAACAAAATGGAAGCAATAAACTGGCGGAATCCAATTTTCAAACATTTGGTTTCGGGAACACTATCATTTATGCTTCTTTGTGGGAGAAAAAGCTTTTGATCTTTCACGTGCAAAGATAGAAAGGACTGCCATCATCAGGAATTGGCTTTGTCTTGCAAACGTTGCACCTGCTGAAAATAAAAATGTCATTAGTTTTAACAATGTCATTCTTAGCACATCCATAAACAAACATAATGTAAAACATTCATTTAAACAGCGGAAGCATTTAATACAAGTGTCTATGCCACACTTTGGCAAACATGGGCATACAAGCCCCCAAATAATTATTAAAAAATAATATCCATGAGCATTATATAAGTGTTCTTAAAACAGAACGCAAGAAGCACGAACCACGTCTTCTCTCCTTGACCTTCACGAAGCGACGAGTGATGGTAGCAACCTTCAAGTTCTACCTGAAACTGTGAGGTGGCCTCCCCCGTGAAGGGGAGGTCATTACTTGGAAGCATTTGACAAGTACAATGACAACTATACCGAGTATAATCAACATTTTAATTTCTAAGATCCTCAAAATAGGGTGATATCATAATATAAATATTAATTTATATTTCACACTTATTATCTCTATAATAAGTAAATTCATTTATTTGTCGGCACACGGCCCTTCTTATAGATTTCCTTGCATTTATCATTTGCACAACCCAACCCGTGGGTCTTATTATTTCTACGGGATTTGCTACCGCTGTCGGAGACCTCATGAGGCTCTCGGTTCGGATTTCAACATCCCGCCCCTGGACTCATACCCATCATCCCGTAGGAAGGTAAGGCCCTTCGGGGTCCTATCTTATGTGTTACCGCTACCGGAGCCTAGTTAGGACTCCAATTCGGATTCCACCCTAACCCGTGATCACGATGCAAGTCCATGCTATCCAACCCCGCTCTCTAGAGTCAGGAAGGGCCATGGTCCTTACTTATTCCCATAATCCAACCGGTTATCCTCAAGGACTACCGAACACACCCGTAGGCCAATCCTATAGCTAGGATCAATTTATTATTCAATTTATCTTGGGTATCCCTTAAGGCCTACCCCTAGTATAACTTAAAGTTCATACTTATCCACCTTAAAGTATCTCTCAAGACTACTTAAGGTTTAACAATTCACAATCCAACCTTAGGATCAATCCTAGCATAATTATTTATCCAATTCCCCGACTAGTATCTTAATATTAGTCGGATAAATCTATCAATCCAAGTCCTCAACTCATAGTCATATAGGCACATCCAAAGTGATTTTCCATTGAAAATATCATTTCTATCAATATACAAAATATCACTTTTAATCACTCATATATTCTTATATGAAATAAAAAGCATATTTCAACATAAGTTCATAGTTAATTCCATTTTCATATTAATAAACATGATCATACATAATTTACTCTTAAATTTGTATATCATGTTCTTTTTCCTTATAGACCATAGTCTTCTCATTCTTAGGCATTATTAATCATTAATAATCCATAAAAACACATTTAATTACCTTAGGTAATCTCATGAAATTATCTCACTAATTATAAGCAATATAGTCAGCCATCCTCACCTTATGATGTGCTCAACTAGCTGCCTTAGCGAAACCCCTCTATCCGTCCTCGTTCTAGGCCAATTGGAAATGGAAAATCTGGACAGTGGGTGAAAGCTGGACGGCTTTCGTGAAAGCTGGGCGACTTTCGGGTTCTGCAGTTTCGAGCAGCTCCCTTTGAGTGGCGGTTTCCGGCGGTTTCGACTCCTGTCGATTCACCAACTCTTCTAAGTTAAATACCACCACTTTATATCAATATTCTACACTTTTAAATGTGTAGAACATCATGTTTAATCCACCATATGATTTCTTACAAATCATACATGATAAAACTAGTTAAAGAACAATAGTTATGTTCTTACCTTTCTTCCTAGCTATTTCTCTTTGAGCTTCCTTGCCCCTTGCTTCCTCCAAGCTAGAGTTTTTGTTTGAGCACCTCCCAGACCTTATCTCTCTATTTCTTACGTGTGGTGTCATTGAGTAGAAAGGAGAAGCATCCCCCTTAATCAAAGCTCCAAAAATATGAGGAGTAGGGTCTTAGGAGCCTTCATATGTCCTCTCCCAACTCCCTCACATGTATGTCCGCACACACACATCTTTCCTTGTCTCTTCCAGCTCTCATTTTGTCAATTAGAGAACATAAAAACGTGGGGTGGCCCCCACTCATGTGGGAGGTCATCCCATTGTATCCCAGTGTGTATAATCGGCCCCGAAAGTTGTATTTCTCGGACTATTTTAATTATATTTTATTTTATCGGGCCAAAAAATACATCACGCATTCCTAATAATTATGGGCCTTTAGAATAGATTTACATCCCCCAACATTAACTTAGGAGTCTCCGAAATTCATTTCGGGCTGTTATCCGCTAAATTACCAATACCGGTAATTGGGCTTCGTTTGACTGACAAGTCAACTCCATGCCCTTTCCATGGCCCAACTAAAATCTCCACCACCATATACATATTATCTTGATCAAGATGAATATATTATGTGGTTCTGTAATTATAGGGCGGGCCCCCGTTCCTGGCGTGGGCCCCACATACAATTTACTATTCACGTAAAAGAATTAATAAAAGTTTAGAATTACGCAAATTCATAAATCATCCTTCAAGGTTTATTACATAATTTACTAAAAGTAAATATTCTTGGGGACGGTGTTACAAGTTCACCCCCCCCTTAACGGGAATTTCATCCCCGAAATTCACAACGCTTATTCGAACAGAAAAGCATACTATTCCTTCATTAAAGCTTCCGTTTCCCAAGTTTCCTCCTCAACTCGGTCACTTTTCCAAAGGATTTTAACCATTGGAACTTTCTTGCTTCTCAACTTCTTGACCTGTCTATCAAGTATCTTCACCGGTTGCACGTCATAGTTCAAGTCTTCCCGTATTTCCACGGGTGGTTTCTCTAGTACATGAGATGGATCCGGCATATACTTCTTAAGCATAGACACGTGAAACACGTTATGTATCTTCTCCAATTCTGGAGTCAATTGCAATCTGTATGCTACGGCCCCAAATCTCTCAAGAATTACAAATGGCCCAATGTAGCGTGGGTTAAGTTTCCCTCGACTCTGAAATCGGATGATTCCTTTCCAAGGTGAAACTTTCAAGAATACCTCATCTCCCGCCTTAAATTCCAAGGCTCTCCGGCGCTTATCGGCATAGCTCTTCTGTCTATCCTGGGCCGTCTTAAACCTCTCCAGAATCATCTTCACCTTTGATTTAGTGATTTCCACCAATTCTGTGCTCTCAAGTTTGGCCATGCCAACCTCATCCCAACACAAAGGTGTACGACAACTCCTCCCATACAATGCCTCGTATGGAGGCATGCCAATACTCGCCTGATAACTGTTGTTATAGGCAAACTCCACAAGTGCTAAATGGTTGTCCCAACTTCCTTGGAACTCCAATGCACAAGCTTTCAGCATATCCTCTAATATTTGTATAACCCGCTCAGATTGCCCATCTGTTTGCGGATGAAAAGCTGTACTGAATTTCAACTTTGTCCCCATAGATTCTTGGAACTTCGGCCAAAATCGTGATGTGAATCGCGGATCTCTATCGGATACAATGGTTATTGGAACCCCATGTAGCCTCACGATCTCATCCACATACAACTTGGCTAACCTCTCCAGTGCATATGTGGTGTTGATAGGTAGAAAATGTGCACTCTTCGTGAGCCTATCAACCATAGCCCATACGACATCGTAGTTCTTAACCATCCGTGGTAACCCTACCACGAAGTCCATAGTCACGTGCTCCCATTTCCATTCAGGAATGGAGAGTGGCTGTAATAACCCAGCTGGAAGCTGATGTTCTGCCTTAACTTGCTGACAAGTAAGACATCTACTAATATATTCGGCTATTTCCCTCTTCATACCAGACCACGAGTAACTTTCTTTCAAATCACGGTCATCTTCGTACCTCCCGGGTGCATGGCGTACACTGATGAATGAGCCTCCTCTAAGATGGACTTTCGGAGCTCATCATCCGATGGTACACACACTCGGTCATGAAATAATAGGAGACCATCGTCTCTCACCCTAAAATCTTCAACCAGTCCCGCAAGCATGCGTTCACGGACCTTCATAAGCTCCTTGTCGGTTTCCTGACCTTTCTTGATCTCATCAAGTAATGTAGGTCTCACCTCGAATCTAGCTAACAAGGCACCATCCCTAGATATCTCCAATTGGGCTCTCAATGCCCTTAAACTAGTCAACAGTGCTCCTGACGAACTCTTTCGGCTCAAGGCATCCGCTACCACGTTGGCTTTACCGGGGTGGTACTCAATAACTAGATGGTAGTCTTTTATCAACTCCATCCACCATCTCAGCCTCATGTTTAACTCTTTCTGAGTAAACACGTACTTCAAGCTCTTATGGCCAGTGTATATATGACATGTTTCCCTGTAGAGATAATGTCTTCAAATCTTCAGTGCAAATACCACTGCCCCCAGCTCTAAGTCATGAGTGGGATAATTTACCTCATGCTTCTTCAACTGTCGTGAAGCATAGGCAATCACCCTCCCATTCTGCATCAATACACATCCAAGCCCTTGGATGCTCGCATCGCTATACACATCGTACCCCATTCCCTGTTTGGGTAATGCAAGTACTGGTGCCTCGGTCAATCTCTTCTTTAACTCTAGGAATCCTTCCTCACATTGGTCATCCCATACAAACTTAGCCCCTTTTCGAGTGAGCTTTGTCAATGGCGATGCCAAAACTGAGAACTTCTCCACGAATTTTCGGTAGTAACCTGCCAATCCAAGGAAACTACAAATTTCCTTGACGTTCTTTGGCCTCTCCCATTCAGTAATGGCCTCAATCTTCTTGTTATCTACGGCAATCCTTGATCCCGAAATCACATGCCCGAGAAAGCCAATCTCCCTTAGCCAAAATTCACATTTGGAAAACTTGGCATAGAGTTGCTTCTCCCGTTGTGTCTCAAGAACAAGTATCAAGTGCTCCTCATGCTCTTCTTCACTCTTTGAGTAAATCAAGATGTCATCTATGAACACAATCACAAACCGGTCCAAGTATTTATGAAATACTCGGTTCATCAAGTCCATAAACGCCGTTGGGGCGTTTGTTAGCCCAAACGACATAACTAGGAACTCGAAATGACCATACCTTGTGCGAAAAGCACTCTTCAGTATGTCATCCTCCTTTATCTTTAGTTGATGGTACCCCGACCTCAAGTCGTTCTTCGAAAACACCGTTGCTCCTCGGAGCTGATCAAACAAGTCGTCAATCCTAGGTAAAGGATACCTATTCTTGATTGTGACCTTGTTCAGTTGACGGTAGTCAATGCACATTCGAAGTGTCCCATCCTTCTTTTTCACGAAAAGGACCGGTGCTCCCCGCGGAGAGTAACTCGGCCTTATGAAACCGTTATCGAATAGCTCTTGCAGTTGAGTTTCAACTCGTTAAGTGCCGCGGGTGCCATTCTGTATGGCGGTATGGAGATTGGTTTGGTGCCGGGTTACACCTCGATCACGAACTCAATCTCCCTATCGGGTGGAAGTCCCGGCAAGTCCTTTGGGAAGACATCTGGATACTTGCACACTACTCTCACATCGTTGATGTCTATCTCTTCTTTGGTTTTGTCCACCACATATGCTAGATATGCGTGGCATCCCTTTCTCATCATATTCCTCTCTCTCACGACGGATATGATACAACTGTTTGATTTGCCTCTATCTCCCTCAAAGCGTAAGGTCAACCCTTCACCGCTTTCGAGTTCAAGAACCTTCGTGTAGCAATCTACCCTAGCATGATGTTTCTCAAGCCAATCCATTTCGAGGATTGCATCAAACTCGATCATACTCAGCTGTACAAAATCACACGTCAAGGTTTGGCCCTCCACTTCTACCTCACACGATGGACAATGGCTATCTCTTTCGATATCATCCCCTAAAGGTGTGGACACCAATAGGGTTTGAGTCATTGGTACAAGCGGTTCATTGAATCCCCCGACGAATGTCTCACTCACAAATGATCGTTGCACCCCGGTATGAATAAGGATTCTTGCATCTTTCCCGTTTATCTTTAGTGTTCCTACATTCATAAGCAATGTAAGACACACTTTCTAAGTATAGACTCGTTTCTTTGGTTAAAGAGTGCACCAACTACGGTTTCGATGATAGTCGTTCAACGCCCCATCACAACCGCTCGGTTCTCACCCTCAAGAACCGACCTAGTGTACCAACAGAGGAAAGCCGACCGCTTTTCACAAAAGCCGGCCGATTTTCGTTCAACCCCGAACTTGTAGTTACGTAAGCCGGCCGGTTTCTACGAAAGCCGGCCGGGGTCTGGCTGCGAGAAATATTGACGTTAATTAATTATGAAAGCCGGCCGGTTTCCACGAACGCCGACCGGTTTTCATCTCCGTAGTTTTATTCGCAAAAATTAATTCAAAAGCCGGCCGGTTTCTACGAAACCCGGCCGGGTTTCAGCAGCGCAGGATTTCCCAGGCCCAACGAACGCCGGCCGGTTTCCACAAAGGTCGGCCGGGTCTTGGCGCCATAGTTTAATTCAATTAATTATTTTCAAAAGCCGGACGGGCTTTTCCAGAATCCGGTCGGTTTTCCTCGGCGAGAAAATTCCCAGATTATTTACTCACAAAAGCCGGCCGATCTTCGATGGAAGCCTGCCGACGTTCAGCACCGTAGTATTTTCCATTTGAATCAGACCAAAGCCGGGCGGCATTCGCCCAAAGCGAGGATTCTCCTCCCCTTTTTGCATCCAAACCCGACCAAACTCGTTCCCCATCATATGGGGTCTCAACCGGCTCAGTTCTCGGTTGGTAAGTTGAATCCTCCTCGGACTCATAATGCTCATCAATTGTTTCCACATGACCGTCACTCACGGTCAGCGAGCGGCCTGCACGGCCCTGTCCCCTAGACACCCTCGATCCTCCCCGACTGCAACGTTGGGATCCTCCCGGTGCTTGGCCAGTCGGGTTCCGTCGAGTAACTTTCCCGGTACGTTCCATTTCTAAAAGAAATTGAGAATGAG